TATTTAGAGGTCTTGAATGTATTTTAATTCATGTACATCATTGCCTGGTCTGGAGATGCCTATGCAATATGCATACATTTAAAACGATTTAAAGTGGTAAAAATTTAAACTGCAAGTGCAGGAAATATTATTACAGCCAGACAAATGACTGTACCAATATACTGACCATCCTGTTTCCCATCACAAATGATTTGGCAGCTCTCCAGGTAATAAACAGCTGCAGGTGTACTGTGGGGATATCTTCATGGGCCTCCTCATCTACCAACCATTCAACATGTCTCCGTTGAATGCACAACAGTACTTGAAAAACTGGATGTGGCCAATCCAGTCCAATAGATAATAAACTACAAATATGTATAGTTCCTTAGAACTACCACTTACCGGACTTTGTGCAATATGCAATCTGGATCTTGTCATGATCTAGTCGTCAACCTTCCAGAAGTGATTTTTGAGAAATATCTTGCTTCTCATTAAACCAAACTTGACTGTTGTGACTAGATCAGCTAGTTAAAAATCCTTAATCCAGCAACACTTGTAACAAATTTGTTAAAGAGTTTTGCAAGATTTAAAGATTTTGGAAGATGTCTAGTGTTACTGTGGGACAGTCAACAGTGAGTATAGAGTCCAAGTCTCAGTCTTGAGTTTAGTTAACTATCTACCACCCCGGGTTAATCAGTGACCGATTAGTTGTCTAAGAAGCTCTTAATCCTCTTATGTTGCTTTAAATGAGAGAATTAATCCCTATTAATCTTAATGCAGAATACACAGAGAGGGCACAGGAAAGTTAAACAATTAAAACACATTCAAACTTATCTCCAAAATCCCCAAGCATAAACCGTGCTAAATGCGTGTGCAGGATAAATCCAGAGCATAGCACACATTCAAGTCAACAACACAGAAAAAATCATCTACAACTATGATGGTATGTACGCAACATACTAATAGTGGCTCTCTGTAGTTAAGGAGTACATTTTGCTAAACCCAAATTGGTTGGATAACTTCATGGCAGTCCATCAACTAAATCAAATAATAACATCTTGTACATGAAAAAAGCTACTTAAAAATGAGGAAATGATGTATCAACAGTCAGTTGAGGGACTTCACAAATTCTACTCCAGAACAAGTAGTGGCTCTAGCGCAATGCCCCCTTACTAGAGCCTTAAGTAATAATACACAGCACGAGGTCCAAAATAAACCTAGCAGTCAATGTCACTCCCAACAACAGGTGAGAGGTTAAATACATTCCCAAGGTGTCAGCAGCATTATGTAATGATCTAAACAAAGAGTTATGTCCGAAAGTGTGAGGTGCCCAAGTTGAATGGCATAGGATAAGCCAGGGGTGCTTTCATCTGCTTCATGCCCAACTCTCATTTTTTCCCCCCTTCCTAAATTAACATCTTAAAACAAAACAAAATATATTAAGAAAATACGTAGCTCATGAACACTAAAGTAAGATTAGGCCTAAATATACTGAAGGCAGAAGTTTTTCTATGCAATAAAATACTGTAAGTCAAAAACTATAATTAAATGCCCAGCTGTATGCAATATGCAGAGGAAGCTTTATGTAAAGGCAATTTACATTTACTGTATAGTATTAACAAAACAATTGTATAGAATAACTTAGCCAAAGAGAAAAACGTGCTGTTAAAATATTCTACATCATTAAGATGACAAACTTTACATATTGAAGTTATTTATTTTGTGGCTTTAGAAAATTTGATTTCAAAATGCATTCTAATTCCCAACAAATAATTTCATACCTAGAATTGAATGAACATTATGTGCAAGAGTTCAATGTAAAAAATAACAACATCATAGACTGTATTGCCTCTGGCTTATTCTGGCTTCCCAATGGCACACCCTACTCACACTACTACATAGCCAGCTGGGTTGTTCTTGGTTATCACAAACCTAAACTTGTTGTGGCACTAGTCTGTACCCTTTACCACAGCCTTAAGAATGTGACACCACAGCAACACCAGCTAGTTACACTCCAGAGAGCACTCTGGCATCTCCTCACATGGTCACAATGCTCCCTCATTTACATTAATCAAGAGGGTTTCCAATATTTTTAACCTACCTGCCCTTAATGGGTCAAGTAGCAGACACAGTGTGAGAAAATGACATGTGCTGACTCGGGTGACTGTACTGAAGAGGAAAGTATGAGAGACAGAGTCAGGTTGGGACTACAAAACACCCCCTCAGACAACACGCAGTCACATGCATCTTAGTGCAGTCCCTGAGATCCAAAAGAACTTAACAGACTGATTTTCTGGTGATGTGTAAAATTCAAATGGATAAAACAGATTTTAAGGATCAACCTTTTGTAATTTTACTGAATATGTATTCAACCAATTGGGTGAGATTTAAAGTGCTACAAGAATGGTCCAGTATCAGTGATTACCATCAAGGCAATGAAAAGCTAAGGGAACAGTCAAATAATGAAATCATCTCTACAAGACAAATGGATAGGGACTGAGGCATCCACAGCAGGCAGGGCCAAAGAGTGACTGCTACACCATGTAGAGGCCAATACTGTTGCTGCTGCTGTGTCTGCTGCTGCGTGGTGTCTTCAGAAGTGTGATGCAGCTGCTGTTCTCGTCTGGTACTGAAACTTACGGTGTGTAGCCATGCAGAGCTGTGGCGGCAGCTGTTAGTGGGGTGGGATGACGTGCAAGGGCAGTGGCCGGATACGTCCGAGCCCTGCCACGCTGGATCGCAACACCTCGGAGGGCCGCCGCTGGAGGCATGCAAAATGATCAACATTCATTACAGGCACAACTCACTTCAGACGGCAGGCACGGGACAAAGGCCTCTCCTAGTTCCAGAGGCCCGAGGCTCACCAAAAACAAGCTAAGTTGGCAGGCTGTAATTCCCTCTTCCCATACACATCATACCAACAATTAATACTTGTGTAACCCTTTCCAAACAAAAATTTACTTTTAACTATACAGACATCTAATGAGCGAAACTTTAGTAGGGTGAGGTACATGCCGCAATTATGGTAGTTAAAATTTATGCTTAGATTTTTACTAGCATGTGCACCATTGACCAAATGTTAACAGATGCACCAATATGTACAAATTTGCATGTGGATGGGTGTGTGTGAAGGTGTGGTTTGTGTGTGGTGTGTGTATGGCGTGGTGTGTGGTGTATGGTATGGTGTATGTATTGTATGGTGTGTGGGGCATGGTGTGTGTGTGTATTGTGTGGTGTGTGTGTGTATTGTGTGGTGTGTGTGTATTGCGTGGTGTGTGTGGTGTATGGCATGGTGTGTATGGTATGTGTATGGTGTGGTGTGTGTGTGGTGTGTGTATGGCTTGGTGTGTGTATTGCGTGATGTGTGTGTGTGTGTGTGTGTGTGTGTGTGTGTATGTGTGGTGTGTATTCACCTAATTGTATTCACCTAGTTGTATTTACCTAGTTGTGCTTGAAATTACCGAAGTGTAGTTCCGGGATGAGAGCTACGCTCGTGGTGTCCCGTCTTCCCAACACTCTTTGTTGTACTGTATACCGCTTTGAAAGTACAGACGGTTTTGGCCTCTACCACCTGCTCACCTAACTTGTTCCAACCGTCTACCACTCTGTTTGCTAAAGTGAATTTTCATACATTTCTTTGGCGGCTTTGTTTAGTTAGTTTAAATCTAGGCCCTCTTATTCTCGAAGTTCCAGATCTCAGGAAGTCTTCCCTATTACAGTGGCACCTCGATTAACGAGCGGCTTTATCTACGAGCATTTCGAGTAACGAGCGAGTCACTCATAGAACATTTGTCTCTACTAACAAGCTTTTCCGCTGGTTCTTGGACACCTTTTACGACAGTTTTGTTGTTTCGCAAGACGAGCTTTCCACACGAGCTTGGTGCCGGAACGGATTAAACTCGTTAATCGAGGTGCCACTGTATTTTTATCAATTCCTGTTACCATCTTGTACGTAGTGATCATATCACCTCTTTCTTCCTCCTTCTAGTTTTGGCATATTTAATGCCTCTAACCTCTCCTTGTAGCTCTAGCCCTTCAGTTCTGGGAGCCACTTAGTAGTATGTCTGCACTTTTTCCATTGTGTTGATGTGCCTCTTAAGATATGGGCACCATAAAACCACTGCATATTCTAGCTTAACAAAAACTTAACAAAAGTCGTGAACAATTTCTTTAGTATTTCGCCATCCATGAATTTAAAAGCAATTCTTAAGTTAGAAAGCGTAGCATAGGCTCCTCGCACAACGTTCTTTATGTGGTCCTCAGGTGATAGTTTTCTATCTAGAACCACCCCTAGATCTCTTTATCAGAAGTTTTTAAAGATTTTCCACAATTTATAGGTTGTGTGGGGTTTATGTTCTATTCCACATTCCATAATATGGCATTTATTCACATTAAATTCCATTTGTCAAGTGGTGCTCATATACTTATTTTGTCTAGGTCTTCTTGAAAGAAATTATAATCATTTAAGTTTCGTATCCTTCCTATTATCTTAGCATCATCAGCAAACATGTTAATATAATTTTGTATTCCATCTGGCAGATCATTTATGTAGATAATGAACATCACCGGTGCAAGAACTGAACCCTATGGTACTCCACTTGTGACATTTCTCCAGTCCGATATATTGCCTCCGATTACTGCCCTCACTTTTCTATCAGTTAGAAAATTTTTCATCAATGTTAGAAGCTTACCTGTCACCCCTTCAATAAGTTCCAGTTTCCAGAACAACTCTTATGTGTAAGTCTGTCGAAAGCTTTTTTTAGGTCCAGATAGATGCAGTCAACCCAACCATCTCTTTCCTGTAAAATCTCTGTGGCTCGATCATAGAAATTACAGAGTAAATTTGATACACAAGATCTTCCAGATTGAAAACCATACTGTCTGTCTGATATTATATCGTTTCTCTCCAGGTGTTCTACCATTTAGTTTTAATTATTTTTTCCAACATTTTGACTATTACACTTGTCAATGATACAGGTCTATAACTGAGGGGGTCTTCCTTGCTGCCACTTTTGTAGATTGGAACTATGTTAGCCTTTTTCCACACATCTGCTACGACTCCTGTACACAGGGATGTCTGAAAAATCAGCCGAAGTGGTATGCTGAGCTCAACTGCACATTCTCTCAGAACCCATGGTGAAACTCCATCTGGGCCAACTGCTTTGTTCCTACTTATCTCCAAGAGCCTTTTTTTCACTTTGTCTCTAGACACCTCTATGTGCTCTGTGTTGTTCTCTGGAAGTCTTATTGTGTCTGGTTCCCTGAAGATCTCATTTTGTACAAACACAATTTGGAACTTTTCGTTTAATGTTTCACCCATTTCGATTTCATTTTTTGTGTATGTCTCCCATTTTCAACCTCTGAATATTATCCTTTACCTGCAGCTTGCTTTTAATGAATTCATAGAAAAGGCCTGGATCTAATTTATATTTGTCTGCTATATCGTTCTCAAAGTTCCTCTCTGCCTCTCTCCTTACTGTCGTGTAGTTGTTTCCTGCATCTTTGTATTGTTGGTATGTTTGGGGGTTTGGCCTCTTCATATAATGATTCCATGATTGTGTCTTTTGATCTCTGGCCCTTTCACAATTTCTGTTGAACAAACCCTGTTTCCTAGGTCTGCATCTCTGTTTGGTATGAATGTTTGTGTGCCTTCATCGTATATTTTGCAAAATTTAGCATACATCTCATTTACTTCCCTGCCTTGCAACAAAACTGTCCAATTATACCCATGAACAAATTTTCTAAGTTCCCCATATCGTCCTCTCTTGAAATCGAGTTTAACAACTATTTTAATGTCCCCATTCTCTGCTGATTAAATTGCAAAGCGTATTTAATGTTCAATAGGACATGATCACTTTTTCCCAAGGGAGGAAGGTACTGAATGTCAAATACCTTTTCTTCGTTCCTGGTGAATATTAGATCCAGTACTGATGGAACATCCCCTTGCCTCATTCTTGTGGCCTGCAGATACACGAATGTCTCCAAAATAAGGTTTACAAATCTGCCTTTCCAAATGTCTTCAGTTCTTGCCTCGTAGGCCTCCCAGTCTATTGCCTTAAACTTAAAGTCCCCCTGTACCAACAATTGGGATTTATCTTTGTCTGCTCTTACCATAATCTCTCATGACCATTAAGAGGTCCTCTCATTTGTCATCCAGCTCTTCTTTTGTCCATGTGTTGCTTGCTGGTGAGCTGTAGGCATTTACAATTATCAGTTTATCATCCTAATTCCAGACTTGCAATGCCATAATGTTAATATCTTGAAGGTTTTCAATTATTAACTCTTACCTTCAGGTATTCTTTCACCAGCACAGCCGCTCCTCCCCTCTTCCTAGTTTTCCTGTCACATCTCCAATCTGAGTAGCCCCTTGGAAATACTGTACCACCTCTTTTAAAATATTTTCTTCAAGTGTCGTCCCTGTTAATGTGACAATATCTGGGACCTCGAGCTGAAGTATATCCTTCAACTCCAATATTTTCGATCTCACTCCATCTATGTTGGTAATACAGTACTATTTTCAGAAACATGTTCCCCTTCCCTTTGTTCTTTACACCCCTTTCCTTTAATGATTTTGTGGCTTTGTCTTTATATACCATTTCATAAGCTTTCCAGTCCCTGAAACTTTGTAGGAAAAAGAATTCCTTTCTTCTTCATTTCTATCCCCATTTCGATGTTTCGCTTCAATGAGGTTCATTTTCAGCTTTTCTCTGTCCTCCTTGAGAGGTTTTGTCTTACTGACCAAAGTTTGCCATCTTCATCACATCGCGATTTTCTTGCATTTCTAAGCACTTCTGTCACATACATTTCACTCCATTAAACGTCACCCTTAAGGGACAGTTCTTGTCTTTCTCATATTTTCCTATCCTCCTAAAATCACAGACATGTTCCTCTGAATTTAGGCCTTCTCCTAATCCTACTATTTTTTCTATGATTTTCGTCTTTTATTTTTGCAGCTCTGTCCACCCTAGATAAAATTTCCTTCTCTAAACATCTAAAAATTATTATGGACTTACTTCTATCTGCAGTGTTTTGTACTAGTTTACTGTTGGTAACCAGTTCTTTCCTAATTGCTTGCCCAAGTTCTGCCTCTTGTTTATCATTTCTGGTTTTGACTTCCACACTTCCTTAATCGTCTCTCTCTCTTTTACAACTTGGGCACACGTCTCTTATTTCCTTTTATACTTTTCTAGTTCTTTATTAACCTCCTCTGTGAGAGTTGTCAATGAAGTTTCCAGTTGCAGATTCTTACCAAACTATGTTAGCCCTCAGGGTCCCTTGGAGTTGTTCACCATATGAGTCTATTTTCTTGATTATTTCTTCAATGTTACCACTTTTAACTTTCCATACATCATTTTCTTGCATTAGTTCCTTTATTTGTTACCTTGTCCGTTAATGCAGTAATAATCTTACCTTGCAGAAGAATACTTTCTTTTAGAGTGCAAAGCTCGCTCCCGAGAGCTCCATTGTTGTCTTCCAATTTAAGCTTTTTCTTCATACTTCTTTTGCATATCTTCAATTATC